TTTTGAATCATTGATAGAAACAAGATGTGTTTTTTTATTTAAATTTGTAGTAAACCATTCAAGGGGTATGCCCCTGATCCCATAGTATTCTAATTTTATCAAATGTATCAAATGCTTTCTATATATCGACAAATACACCACATGCAAAATATTTATCATCAATTGCTTTTCTAATCAATTCAGTCATTTCAATGCAAGCCTGAGTTGTGGAATGGTTGGCACGAAATCCATACTGATTGGTGTAAAAGCATTTAAGTTTTTCAAGAAAAGCAAAAAGCCTAATATGCATCACAATTCAAAGAGTTTACCTATATTAGAAAGCATGGAGATGGGTCGGTAATTGGTGAAATCTAGTAGAGAGCCTTTTTTAAATATTGGAATGACTTTGGTAACTTTAAAAACATCTGGGAAAATACCACTTTTTAATAAGTTATTAATGTCGGACTAGTTTACGGAGGAATTTAGGTACGCTATTAGACCAAGACTTTTTTTAGTTTTGAGTGTGTTTGTATTGAGACCAGGTATTTCATTTTCTGTTAAAGGATTAATAAAAAACAATTTAGCATTAGGAATGTTACGAATTTCATTAAATACACATTTAGTGTATAGCTAAGTAGTTTGTTATGTATAGTACTAAAATAATTATTAAATATATTAGATATGGCAGTGTGATTAGTGATAAGATTTTTGTTCAATTTAAGTTTAAAAAAAGTATAGTGTGAATTTCTTTTATTCCCTTCCAGGTGTTTTTGTTATTGTTCAGATTATTAATAAAATATGTAATAAAGTATGTTTTTTTGCTAAATTTTATTAAATTGCAAATTTTGTTTCTATAAAATTTAAATTTTGCTAATAATTCCTTTTTCTTATGAATATTTTTTTGTTTTTATAAACTTATTATAAAGTTTGTTTTTAACTTAAATAGATTTATTCCATACGTAATCCAGGGTTTTGATTTTAATTTAATTTGTTGGTTGGTTAGTATTTTATAAGGAGCATGTCGATTAAGATTTCATAAAATGTTTTTAAAATGAAATTTATGGATTTATTAACATCATCGTCTTTTTTAATGGAGAGTTTTCAGTTGATATCAGAAATATCTTCAATAAATATACTTTTATTAAACTTTTTGAAGCATCGTCTGTAAGTTTTTACTTTTTTGGGGTGGTTGTGTATGCCAGGAATGCAAATAAATTGTGCCATGTGGTCTGAAATTGAAATCATTGGGTTACCTGAGAGTTGATCAGTTGAATTAAAGTTTGTGAATATGTTATCAATAAGCATTTTTGATGCAGCTGTTATGCATGATGGTAAAATTATAGAAGGGCTTAGTGAGTAAGATGTTAAATAATCTAGATATGTAGATTCATTGTGACATAATAAATCCATATAAAAATCACCCATTCCAAAAAATCTTTTTTTTTCTTGTTACTTGACTTTTCAAGTAGAAGAGTTAAGTGGGAAGAAATAAATTCATGTTGATTAATTGAGGGATGATGATAAAAGCAGCCAGTTAATATATTTGATTCACAAGGTTCAGCTATTTCAACAAAAAAAGACTGTAAATATTTAGAAGAGTAAATCATAAGATCATTGCCAACTACGTAGTTTAAATTTGAGCGTAAGTATAAAAGTGCTCCACTTTTTTTAGCCTTATATTAAACCCGTTTATGTATATATCAGTTATATTTGTAGCATTTATATATAAATTAGATTCTGTAATACCTATTACTAAGGGAAAATTATTAAGAGAACTGATTGATGACTACAGAGTTCACCAATGTGGAATGGTAGAGAAGCGATGTTAAGATGAATATATAGTTCTGAATTGGAAAGCATAGTTTTATTGAGGTCAATAATGTCATAGTATTTGCAATTAACAGGACTAGGAAATTTATTTAGATTTTTAAAGATATTTTTATGATTACTTGGAGTCTCAAAAGAGTTTAATGAACTAGTATATATATTCTTGCATAACAATGTTGACTTAATGTTGGAAATCGAGCTAAAGGCAATACTCTTAAATAAACTGCTTGACAATACAAATCTGACGAGTCATTGAAAAGAAAGTTATAAGAGTGTGCATCAATATGGTTACACTTTGCATGGACCCATGAGTTACAAAGATCACATTGGATGGCTCTTTAATTATCAGTTA